TTTTTGTGGGGGGGGGGGGGTTCGGGTTCGGGTTCGGTCGTTCGGGTGGGTTCGGGTTGGGTTCGGGTTCTGGCTCTGGGCCGGGCCGCTTGGTGGGGGGGGGTTCGGGTTCGGGTTCGGGTTCGGGTTCGGGTTCGGGGCCGGGGTTCGGGTTCGGGTTCGGGTTCGGGCTGGGCTTCTTTTTTGTGGGGGGGGGGGGGTTCGGGTTCGGGTTCTGGTTCGGATTCGGGTTCGGGTTCTGGCTCTGGGCCGGGCCGCTTGAGGCGGGGGGGGGAGGTTCGGGTTCGGGTTCGGGTTTGGGTTCGGGTTTGGGTTGGGCTTCTTGTTTGTGGGGGGGCCCCAGCCCCCCCGCCTATGTTTGGCGGAGCCAGACGTTCTTAGTCGTTCTTGTTCAGTTCTATCATGGGGGGGGCTGCGCCCCCCCCCAACCCCCACGCCTATGTTTAACGGAGCCCGACGTTCTTCGTTGTTCTTGTTCAGTTCTATAGCCCGGCGTTCTTCGTCGTTCTTGTTCAGTTGTATCATGGGGCTGCGCCCCCCCCCCAACCCCCCCGCCTTTGTTTGGCGGAGCCAGACGTTCTTGGTCGTTTCTTGTTCAGCTCTATCATGGGGGGGGCTCCGCCCCCCCAACCCCCCCGCCTATGTTTGGCGGGCTGCGCCCCGCCCAACCCCCCCACCTCTCTTTGGCGAAGCCCGACGTTCTTCGTCGTTCTTGTTCAGTTCTATCATGGGGGGGGAGGCTGCGCCCCCCCCCCCAACCCGCCCGCCTATGTTTAACGGAGCCCGACGTTCTTCGTTGTTCTTGTTCAGTTCTAATGGGGGGGGCTGCGCCCCCCCAACCCCCCCGCCTCTGTTTGGCGGAGCCCGGCGTTCTTCGTCCTTCTTGTTCAATTCTATCATGGGGGGAGGCTGCGCCCCGCCCAACCTCCCCGCCTCTGTTTTGCGAAGCCCGACGTTCTTGGTCGTTCTTGTTCAGTTCTATCATGGGGGGGGGCGCCCCCGCCCAACCCCCCCGCCTATGTTTAACGGAGCCCGACGTTCTTCGTTGTTCTTGTTCAGTTCTATAATGGGGGGGGCTGCGCCCCCCCAACCCCCCGCCTATGTTTGGCGGGCTGCGCCCCCCCCGCCTCTGTTTGGCGGAGCCCGCGTTCTTCGTCGTTCTTGTTCAGTTCTATCATGGGGGAGGCTGCGCCCCGCCCAACCCCCCCGCCTCTGTTTGGCGAAGCCCGACGCTCTTCGTCGTTCTTGTTCAGCTCTATCATGGGGGGGCTGCGCCCCGCCCAACCCCCCCGCCTATGTTTAACGGAGCCCGACGTTCTTCGTTGTTCTTGTTCAGTTCTATAATGGGGGGGGCTGCGCCCCCCCAACCCTTCCGCCTATGTTTGGCGGGCTGCGCCCCGCCCGCCTCTGTTTGGCGGAGCCCGGCGTTCTTCGTCGTTCTTGTTCAGTTCTATCATGGGGGGGGCGCACCCCCCAACCCCCCCGCCTATGTTTGGCGAGCTGCGCCCCCCCCAACGCCCCCGCCTATGTTTGACGGAGCCCGACGTTCTTCGTTTTTCTTGTTCAGTTCTATAATGGGGGGGGCTGCGCCCCCCCCAGCCCCCTCGCCTATGTTTGGCGGAGCCAGACGTTCTTGGTCGTTCTTGTTCAGTTCTATCATGGGGGGGGCTGCGCCGGGGAGGGGTGGGTTCGGGTTCGGGTTCGGGTTCGGGGGGTGGGGGGGGGAAGGTTCGGGTTCGGGTTCGGGTTCGAGTTCGGGCCCTTTTCTCTTTTTGGGGGGGGGGGGGGGGTTCTGGGTTTGGGGGGGGGTCGGGTTCGGGCCTTTTTCTTTTTTTTTGGGGGGTTCGGGTTCGGGTTCGGGTTCGAGTTCGGGTTCGGGTTCGGGCCCCATTTTTTTTGTGGCGGGAGGGGGGGGGGGGGGGAGGGGGGTTCGGGTTTGGGGGGTTGGGGGGGGGGGGGGGGGTTCGGGTTTCCGGGTCGGGTTCGGGTCTCGGGTTCGGGTTCGGGGTTCGGGTTCGGGTTCGGGTTCGGGTTCGGGTTCGGGTTCGGGTTCGGGGGTTCGGCCCCTCTTTTCGGGTTCGGGTTCGGGTTCGGGTTCGGCCCCTCTTTTTTTTTTTGGGGGGGGGGGTTCGGGTTCGGGTTCGGGTTCGGGTTCGGGTTCGGGTTCGGGTTCGGGTTCGGGTTCGGGTGGGGTACCTAATGCAATTTCGGATGAAACGGAAAATCCCCCGAACATGATGTCATGCCCCACCACAAATCAGAGCCAAGTACAACAAACCACAACCATTTGCAACAAACTAGACAACCAACTATAACAAGCCACAACCACAACCAACCACGACGAACAAGCCACAACAAGCCACAAACCCCAGCCACAAAACGCCACAACAACCACAGCCAACAAGCCAGAGCTACAGCTACAACAACTACAACCGCTGAAATGCAACTGCAGCAAACCACCAAAAGTCACAACCAACCAGAACCCTGATATGCATGGCCCTCCCAAATCCATTAAAAGTTGATGATGGTGTTGATGCTGTCTTCTTTCACTGCAGCACGTGTCGCTTGATCATCAAGAGTATTCTAAGCATGGGATTTCCGCCAGCAAATGAGGAAACCTAATACCTTTGTTTCCACACAAACCATGGCTTGTCTCAGGGCGGGGAAGGGCTGGGCATACAAAACAGACAAACTGATATCCGAGAGTGGATCAATTCATCATCTATTGGTTTAAACCATTGTCTCAAGTGTTCGATTCTCACCAATCTGCCCGCAGATTCTGCATCTATTTGCAGGTGCAAACCGAGAATGTGTCCACCTGTCATGACCGTGTCCCTTCCAAACCAATGGAGGTGGCAGAGAGCTGCTTGGGGTTGTGGGTGGGTTGGTTAAGCCCCAGCCACCAGAGCCAAGGAGTGAGGCCGCTGAAATGCGGCCACCCCAAATTCAGCCGCCCCCAAAACAACCAGCCGCGGTCTCCCCATTTCCCGGGTTACAAACCAAACCACAACGTTCGGTATAATTCACCAAGTCAGCAGCCCCTAGCTCAATAGGGAACCCTTCTTTGAGACAACCATAGCTGGAGACAGAGCGAGTAAATCTTGAAAGCAATCAAAGCAAATGGAAGGCATGCAGCCTTCCAACCGAATCGGCGCGATGCCGCAACCAAACCGGCCCATCGGCCTCACGCAAGTGGTGCGGTGCTCCTCCAAAGTGCAGGCAGATTCCTCGGAGCAGCTACGCTAACGTCAAGCCTCCCGCGAGAAATCAGCTTCCCTTCAATTGGTGGATTGGTTTAGTTCCGGGGGTGGTTTCCCATTTACCCTCTACAGAACCAGGGGTCCAAATCCCCAAGCCGCCTATCCAAACCACCAACTACGGCCTATCTGAGACAAGAAGGAAAGGCAAGCCATGACAAAAGAAAAAGCAACAATGGATGGGCTCAGAGGCTCGGCGCCGCTGCTTGAAACACTATGTGCTCTGCTTCCTTGTCTATTCATGGACAACTGGGCAGGCCAAGCCATCGATTTTTTAAGGACTAGGTGGTTGTGCTGTTTTTGATCGTACATATTTTGGGGTTGTTTGGAAAGGAATCAATGGAAACCATCTATTTTGGGGTGTTCCCTATTCAGAGACAAACCATCAAAGGTCATCACCAAAATCCCTAAGAAAGTCCCCACAGAACCAGTCTTCACGATGATCCCACCACAGCTTTCACATCCCTAAACCTCCCAAACCAGAAAGTTACCCAAAAGGTCGGGGAGTCAGCTCCAAATCTCGGGGCGCACTCCGTGATTTCTGGGCTCCCTCGCGGAAGGTGGCAACATGCAAGCACACAGCAGCCGAAGCATGGCCATGGCTCCGATAATGCGAGATGGAAATAAAAATAACCCAATGCTATGAATGTTAATAAGGGACCCTTGGGTGGACATCACTTAGGTGGGGATTCATGTCCACCAACCACTTTTGAGGTGGTTCCCTATTTAGATTCATGGCCTCAGAATCCAGGCTGGGCGGTGTCCAGCCTGCGTCCTCTGGCGGCGCAGCCATCAAAATGGGCCCCTTTGAAAACAATCCAACATGGGTTCAAAGAAAAACACACCCATCTCGAATCTGCAGAAAACCCCCCTGGCTGCGGGGGGGCAGACTGACCCCCAAACCTCCACTTTGTTGCTGGGTGACACTCAGGCAGCTGCTAGTCGATTCGCATAGGGAGCCAAGGAAGGACACCCTTTAAGCTTCTGTGCAAATTTATCTTCGTCCAAATTTGGACGCTTCGCGCAATGCGAGTCGCCATTTAAAGACGAATTGTCAAAGGGAACCCATTGACAAACCTGCATGTTGCGCCACTGTTAAAGGGGTCCGACAAGGGACCACCATATTCTCATTCCCCTTGTGACAATCACAGAAACTATGTTGAAGAACTGCTAAATCGAATGCATCATGGGCGCTGCCATTTTGACTACCTTGGAGCAATAGCTGCCCAGTAGCTGCACGGGCTTCTAAACATTCACATCTAAACGCAAGGATGTCGCGATCGTGCCCCAACTCGTCCGGCATTTCCTGTGATCTGTATGTTTCCTAAGTTTTCGTTGACATGGCCGAGTCTTTGTCGACCACTGATAGCCTCCAGGCTTGAGCCAAGGTTGGCGCAAGGGCGCCGCGGGCTCGAGGCCGCAGGGGGTTGTGGCCAAGCCTTGGTTGAAGCATCTGAAGCAGATTTCCCTGTGTTTGTCCAACCCAAAAAAACGTCCACTTTGATGTTCGGCCAAGCCTGGCCATGTTCCCCCATGTTCGGCGACACGCAGATCAACGACAAAGGGCCATCTTCAGCTGTGCCCTTCACACCTCGGATTCGGAGGCTGAATTCATCTGAATGCCAGCAAGGGGGCCATATGTAGTCTGCTGAATCCCAAGTTCAAATATATATATATATATACATGCAACACCCTTCAAAAAGTGGCGCATGAATTTCTTTGCGGGGCAAAGCAGGATGTCTCCTGCAGCCTTGCGGGTGTAGGAGAGCAGTGCGACTCGTCCTGGGCTGCGTATGTATCAAGGCCAGGCCTAGGAGGCATTGTGTGCAAGTTAGGACGGGCAAGTTAGGACGATTCACACAATTAAAATGAGTAAGGCTCCCTTAGCAAGCAAGGCTTGCAGCCTCCCCCCCCCAACCCAGCTGATTAGCTTCCGGGCAAGACGATTGTTTGTAACAGTTTTCTTCTCGGGGGTCACATCACGGCACACGACGCCAAGGTCAACCCCTATCTCCTTGCCCCCGGGAGCTTCGCTAAGTCAAAACACAGCCCAAATCCAAGGTGTGTAGCCCGCATCAAACAAACTGCTAGTGGGGCGCATTGAGCTTTGTGCCTCAATGCCCGGCCGCAATTCATTTGTCAAGTTCGTTGCTTTGGCTTATGTTCATAGTTGCAGTCCGTCCAAAGGAAACTCAGTGACAAATCGCTCCAAGATGTGTCATGTTCCATGCAACAAACAAACACATAGACCCTTGTACCATGATCCTGCAGATAGACAGCTCAATAAGATGGAGCAATTCGACGATTCAGCAACGTATCTTGCGCCACGTGGTTGAGGTCTTGCTGATAGGAATGCTGTTGATGGACAACATCCCACCACCTCAGATGCAACTGAAACAGTGTTTGCTGCCACTGCACTGTGCAAAGCGCGGAATGCTGGCATACCCGCAGTATCCTCTGTAGGGACTTCTGCAACGACGGTTGGGCATTCCCTTGACTTGTGGGTACCTAACAAAACGGCTGGCTCAATCCGCAAAACGTCTCCCTGGATCGAATGTTGAACCAACGAAGCTGAGGACAGAAGCTTGCCCAGTTGGCGGCTCGGTGGGTTCAAAAGGAAGCCTCGCCCTCCCCGCCCCCCACCAAAAAAATGCACAGTTTGCCCCTATCTGCGCCCCGTCGCCGAGGCTGAAAATTCACGCATTCTGAGTTTGGAGCAGAAAAACACAAACCCTCTCGTCAAGCGAAAACAAAGGGAGTTCTCCGGCGGTGCGGGAATTTCCACGAATAGGGGTCCTATTGTATTATCTTATAGTCCCCAAAACGACCTGAATCCAAGACATGTTTGGGATACATGAGCCACAGATATATGTTGTTGACCCGTAGAGGCCAAGGGCAACGGCTCCAAAAGGCCAATGTCCCAAGACTCCGTGGAGAGCGCTGAGGGCGTACATGGGGTCGCCGGGGCCTGTACTCACCCGAAAATATGCATGTGTGGACATACACAGACTGTATGCATGCTTATGAATGTATATGGTTTATAGAGAAAGAGATGTGTGTATGGATACTTGCGTGTACATATGTGTACGTGTATGTGTATGTGGATTGTGAAAAGTTTATGTGAACGAGTATGACAATGTCTTTGCGCATGTGAAGGTAGTTGCTTCTAGGAACGAGCGCAATGGTACAGGCGCACATGTACAGGCATGTGTATACGAATGTAGACATGTATACATAAACCTGTTTGCGTACACGCGCATCGGACTGAGAAGCAAACAGATACAGCAGAATGTAGAAGGGTGGATATGACAGCATTTCGTACACATGATTCTCGTTTTTGAAAGGCGCCAAGTCGGAGCCTGTGGGTCATCTAAGGCTGGGGAGGGATCCTGTAGGTCCCACTTGGGTCCAAGTGTGGTCGAGTTTCTTGCGAGGCGAGCCAATTTCTCTTGGCGAAAACAGAGAGCCCGCGGTTCGGCTGGTTACATACGCCCATGGGACTTCGAAAATGGACAGAGCCCAAAAAGCAGAAGCCGAAAAAAAGACACATCAAGCACAGCAAACGTAGTGATTCCTTTTGGGAGGACGCCCTCTAAACTCTAGCAGCTTGAATTGACCCATGAAACCCACCATGGCAAGTGGCTTGTGTAGATTGGAACAGTCAGACAAAACGCGCACCCAAGGGCATGTTGCAGAAACACCCTGGGAGTACACCCTGGAAAAGTGACCCAACGTGGTCAAAAGAAGAGGAAAAATAGAACACCATGAAAGGCATTGATTGATCCTCAGAATCCGTCCTCTCCCTGCCACATATGTTCATGCATCATTTCCGCTCGCCAACGAATCTGTCAACTGTTCTGCCCAGCTGGCAACAAGTGCTGAGCTCGAACATACTCAACTGTACACGGGGGCTTGCGCCGGGTTCCCCATATGTCCGGACAAAACATGCCGTGACCCCTAGCAAGCAGAGGCTTGAGTCAAAACCAGGTTCTCCGAAAGGTTGGTGTCATGGCCCACACCCGGCGTCCGAATTCAGCCATTCAGCGAGGCACTGAATGTGAGTGGATGGGAAGCCTTTAAGAGCCCGAACGGATTCATGACACGAGTGCTTCCCTTAATCTGAATATCGATCTCAACTTGCCTGCACAGACAAGGACCTCTTTATTGGGGATATGCCCCAGCATGGCCCCGGGGTGATGCTCAACTCAGCGACAAATTCGATTGCTGGAAGCACAAGGACAGCCTCGTTGGGAGCCCTTCTTGGGGCCCAAAACCAGAAGGCTTGCCCAAAGGTTTATAAGGGAACATGTCGAGAGGTCGGAAACCCAAAATCCAAAAGCAAGTTTCCCAACTAGGCCCCCTCTGCCGATTCTAAAAGCAAGAGGTTTCTTTTATTTTTAGGAACGGTCTCCGGTTTCTCGTGGGAGCTTCTCAAAAATGGTGGACCCCCGTTTGGTGGGTATCTAAAGGAGCCAAAAAGAAGCCAACCATCTTCTCGCCTTCCCCCTACCTGGGTGGTTTGGATTTGCTCCCGACTTGCCCTCTACCACCAATCCAAACCCCCACCTAAGGGTTGGAGAAAAATAGGAAAGCCAAGCCTCGACAACAGAAACTCCAAACATGGATGGACTCAGAGGCTCGCAGCTGCTCGAAACAGAGGCTGCTCTGCTTCCTGGACAACTGAGCAGGCTCAGCGGCTAAGCCCTCGAATTTCGAGGTCCGAATTTTGGGGCGCCGAGCTTTTATCATTCTTGAAAGACCCCCGCCCCCGCGTGTCTCGTTTCTGGCAAGATGCGCGCGAAACGTCGCGCAAAAAACAAGACAAATTATCTCGCCTTCTCTAGGTCCACGCCGTTCTTGGCAGAGCCCAGCTGTAACCTGGCGACACGGAAATTCGCGGAACGCCCCTTCATGTGTGGGTGTAGGGATATGTACGTGTATATAAATGTATACATGCACTTGTGAATGCGAAACCATGTATATTGATATGCATATATATATATATATATGTATATATATATATATGTGCATATATATATATATAAATACATATATATATATATAACACATCTTGTTGTACCCCCGCCCCCCGCCTTGATACTCACCCTGTTGCCTGTCCATCCACACGCTAAAGCCGCCTTGTTGAGTACTTGCAAGAGTGGCTCTGACGAATTCGTGCATCTTCACTGTTCTGCAGGCCTGAACATGGACATGTACTAGTTATCTCAATACATCCTGGACTGGATTCGAGATTAAAGATTCCTCGGTAGTTTTCTGAGGAAAGGTTGATCTTCGATATTCAATCCGCAAGTGTGCTCAGACATCTTAGTACATCCTGACTCCTTCTTCAACATTCCGAGGATGTACTAAGATGCTTTAGAACATGCAGTCATGCATGGAGCGACAGGATCACATGCCGGTGCATGCAACCACGCACCATCGGGTTTCAACATGAGTAAGGGGGACCCCACAAACCAGACATCAGATCAAATGATGTCGACAACTCCCATGCTTTTGCAGAAACTCCCCGCGATGTGTCAGCGAAGCACAGTTGAGCAGCGCCCAACACCCATTGACTTCCGGTAAGATGGTTATAACGGTTTACACGGGCCTTACTCTAAATCACTACTAAACAAGGAAGTGAACCACCCACCAAACTGGCGAACAGGGATTTTGGGCGCTCAATTCCAAATGAGCCATGGCCAAGGTCGTGTCCCCCCATACGGTGGCATCATTCCATGTTGTGCATTCCTTTTACTCTGAGGTACCTGTTTGCGGGGCACATGAGAGTGAGTACTTCTGTTTGGGACACGTGGCCCAAGCGCACAGTGTTATTTCCCTTGATCAGGGGAACCTTTTAACTGGTGACTAACAACCAATTGCCATGGGCGCCGATGTGAAGGGAAGTCTAAATAAGGATGTTGGAATTATTGGGTGTGTCAATTTTTACGGGCTCCCCTCCCCCCCAACAAAAAACAAAAACAGCACACACCCATGAGTTGAAATGGCCAGCACGTACTTCAATAGATGCTGAATGATGACATCGCAAGCAACGCCTGGGATCTTTTCGTTCCAATTGCTTGACCGGTTGCAAGCCTTGAACAACGAGAACCTTTGAACAAAGAAAAGGCGTCCTGGGTCCTACCTGGGGTCCGACTACCTTGAAAGAGTGTCCAACTACACTTTTGAAACGGAATCCAATTCGATCTTCACCCGCAAAAGTGGTTTCAACTTCCAACAGGTGTGTCTCAACACTACCAACCGTGACTGGATTCCTTCCTGTTTCCTTCGGTTCCCGATCTTGAGACACGCGCAGGGTGTTTTGTTCAGTTTCGCGCGCCTCGGCACCACCGGGCGGAGCCCCACGAAGGCCGGCGCGCTCTGTTGCCGCGAGGGGGAGCACTGGCCGGGCGGAGAAGAAATCTATCCGAATCCCATCGGGGTTAGGATGGATGGATGGGGACGAAGCTGGTATGAAGCTGGGCTTAGGCTTAGCCAACAGGCGGTTGAAAGGCAACAGGCCCTCTTCGAACGACCTGCTGTCCACTTTCATCATGTCGTTCTTGCTCTTCTTCTTTTTTTCAACCTACACCCCAACCCAAACCACCGGTTTGTTCAGAGAGCCCATGTATGTGGAATCTGTTGACCTTGAGGCAAAGCCATAGCACTTCCGGGGCTTTGGGGGGATTGCCTGTGGGCATCCTAATTGGCGAGCCATCTTCCTGAGCAACTTACCCTACAACCCATGTGATTACCCAACCCTTCTGGGATTTGCTACTTGACCCAAAGGACTAGCAACCTCGGGTTACTAGTTGATACCTGCTGGTTCCTTGGCTCCACAAGTGGATATCTTGCATGAATCCTTCACAGGGTGGCAATGGAAATTTACAACTTTCGGTGAGAGGGTATGCTTGCCTTTCAGGAATGGAAGGAATAGAAACAAGAGAGCCGATAGCCATGCCAATAGCCCATGCAGTGCTTGGGAGACAGAGATCAGGATATAGCTCTTATTGTGCCCGACACAAACAAACAACAACTTTCTGCCAAGCAGGCCTCTAGAACACAGCAGCAACCATTTTTGTTCCAAAGCTGAACATGGCAAAAGAAGGGGTTGTAAGAAGCAAAACACTTGGACGCTCAACACTTGATGAGCCAAATGGGTATGAAGTGGGATGAGCCAGCGCAGCGCTTTCTTGGAGAACAGGTAGACCCGTACGCAATGGTTGAGGCGGCTTGAGCATGTCTGACAGACCAGATGCTGCAAAGGCACAAACACATTGACACTTTGGAATCAGGCTTTGGCATGCCCAAACATATGTCACTGGTGTTTCATACTCATGGTCAACTGACCATCTACAGCACATGCCGGCCTTGCAGGAATTATGTCTGCAGCAAACTCATGTTGACCCCTGATTGACAACCCTCCCCCCCCCCCCCCCCCAGCCCCCCAGGTTGTTGGTATTAACAAGGTCTCTGCAAAGCTCTAAGAGCAGAGTCTGGTTGGCAGCTCGTGCAAGGGCTGGCTCCTGAATTGTTGCAAGTATACTCTGGGAAATCAAAAAGAAGTCATCTATGGCAAAGTGGAAAAGGTGAGACCCTAAAGGGATAGGGCACCGGCACCGGCACCCGACCTCAACCAACAACCTGCGAGGGGCTCGAACCCGAGTGTCAACACTAAATGACGACAAACAACAACTTGCAACCATGAGTCTAGGTCAGCTACAGCAAGCAAAACGCGAAAATGGCGTGTCACGGTTCCTGCTCCCTTCGTTGAGGGGTTTCCCCGCCGGTAAGGATCACACACCCGCCAGCCCAAGCTGCAAGCAGGCCTCAAGTTGCTGCTTCATGGAAAGCGCCTGATGCAGTGGAGAAACGGGCAACCTTTCTTTCAGGCGTGTCATTTTCTGAGGGTACGTGCCTCTTGTTTGCCATCTTGCTCAAGCTTCTACCACCCGATGACGACGCCGGCGCTATGCTCTCCTACTTCATCCAGCAGCTCAGCGTGGTGGTGCGTGAATTCCGGGTGCTGCGCTCTGGCATTGCTTCGGCACGCACCACTCTTTCTCTTGGATGGCGCATGCGTGCAAGTACGGACTAAACCTCAAATTACTTCTAGCCGTTTTCCACCGTGAATGTCTTTGTATAGCCAATGGACTATGGGGGAACAAATCAGATTCAGGAAGCAGAATGCCTTCTCTCAGGATTGTTGTTGGTGACGCGCCCCGCGGTGTTTGTTTTGTCCAATGGGTAGTTGTCTTGACGTGTGAATATATTTTATGTTTGAAAAATCACCAAGTATGGACCAGAAACCAACCTGGGAGGCAAACACGGTATGGTTTGGGGATGCGCCCCGACTGGACCAGTGCAGCATTGCACGAGCAGGGATGTTGCCCATTTGGTTCACATCCGGTTGCACGGGCCATCCAACTTCTGCGAGGCATGACCTCAATCTTTGGTGCTATGCGGGGCTATGCGAGTCCGTGGGACACTTTGGGGAGACCTTGCTTGCATGGTCGGGCGGAAACCAAAAGCCCCCACAACCCACGAGGAAAGGTGTTTAGAACCTTCTTGGAGAGGTTATGCTCGATTTATCCTGGAACCTTCCTTGTGGAGTCTCCTGATGTTTCGAAGGGGTCATCAAAGTGGAGGGGTGCTTGTAAAATTGGAGACACCCACGCGGCTGAAATGTGCCTTTGCTGGCAAGCGGCAAGTGAACTGGGCGAGCAAGACCATGCTGGGATTACTTGATGGCTGCTTGCCTACCGCTACAACAATCTTCCTGGAAAGTCGATTTTTGTGCCTGAAAATTGCCTAATGATCCAATAGAATCTTGGACTCCCTTCAGTTTTCCGTCAAACACCCCGAAAGAGTCCAAACCAACAAACCAATGTTCTACTCTTGTGGTGTGATTGATTTTTGGAGACCTATTCTACCCACAAGCCTGCTTCAGCTTCCCTCCATTGCTCCCTTGGATTGGTGGCTTGGTTTCCCATTTGCACTCTACAAGCACCAGGGGTTCAAATCCCCAAACCACCAACCCTAGCCCACCAAAAACGCAATACCTGCTTGACAGCAGTTTGCTCAAAAACAAACAGCATGTCAAATCTCCCTGGTGTTGATCCTCAATGGAGACAGCCGCGGGCAGGGTGTGTCACTGTCTGTTGACCCTTTTGCTCGGGGAAGGCTAGGGGAACTCTTTGAACGTTGCACGCCAAAGTGCGCAATCCCCCGCTAAAGAACGTCAAACTTCGTTGTTCATTCAAAAACAGCCGACTGCAACTTGGCTATGAAGGAAGCACCTAGCACCTAAGTGTTGCACATGGCTCCCCACAAAAAACTCCGATGTCTGCCAAAAGGGTCCGGGGCCCACGAAAATTCAGGCCAACTTCTTCCCTCTTAGGTTCCCGCCTCTGGGGAGAAGGGTGCGATCTCTGGAGGCCGGGAGGGCGGGGTCGGCAGCACCGGCGCAGGCCTGGCTCTGAGGACCGGCTCAACTGGCCTCTTAGCTCTGGAGCGCTCTGCCCTCTCAGTTGAAGGAACAAATCTTAGCCTCTTGACTTCTTCTTTCTGGGGCTTCAGCACTCTCTCTCAGTTCTTTAAGGCAACTCCAAATAGTGAGCGCTCTCTGGGTCGGTTCAGTTGGATCGCCGGCAGTCTTGTAGAATCCCAACACTCTTGCAGGATGCTCAAGATCCCGGTGTGCCAAGAGACTTACTTGTCGTGTAAACCCATTGACATGCGGTCCTGACCTCTGCTCAAAGTGCACCATCTCAGTCTGCTGATAGATGCGAAGATTGACCATCACTTGCTCATACGCGCGCCTGAAAGCCCAGTCAGTCTTGAAAGGGGCACCAGAAGTGAAACTGGCCTTCAAACCCGCCAGTGCTCCACAACCATGTTTCTGCTTACACAATCACGGTGGATTCAAACACCTGTGATACCATTTTGAGGGTGGTTCCCCAACCGGGCCGCATATGAGGCAACCGCGGCTTTGAAAAGCCTGGATCGCAAACCCGCCAGCCCCCAAAAAAAATCCAACGCCCTCAAGCTGCTCTAAGCCCAAGACCGAAGTAAAATGGGGGGACAAGTGATTCACCAATTTCCGGGAAGACCCTAGCCTAAAGATGTAATGTTGTGCCCGACTGGGCACTGGAAACGATTACGCCCTTTAAAGCACGGAGATTGGCACTGCTTTGATAGGCATGGCCTATCCTATGAATTCACAATTGACACGGCTGAATTGTATCATCTACTGTAGGGCGTCGTGCAGGTATTCAAACTCACGTTTACATTTGCCCTTGTAACAGGATGGCCGGCATTTGCAATGGTGTGTTGGGCGTGGTGTCTGGCAGAATAATGTATACGTTGCATCTAGTCTAGTAGTTGTGCATTTGCATCAGCATTCATTCGCATGCGGATTGGCGCCTCCATTCGCATGGTATGTGCATTGCGTTGTGCCTTGGTGCTGGCCCGTATATAATCTTTGATCTCCCCAAAAGGATGTCAACCAGAGGATGGATGGTTTTCTACAATATATATATATATGTATATATATATATGTGTATATATATATATGTTTCAGAGTACCATTTTTCAGGTTTGCTTGGTACCCGAGTGGCCACAGGGCTTGGTTCCCTTACCCTTAAGTGCCACATGCCAGGCGCACTCTCCAGCCCCATGGAAGGCCACGCGCAGGTTCTCGTAGGTGCTCGCCTGAAATTGTTCTCTTCCCCCAAGCGAGCGAGCGAAAAAACCACGCCGTTTTGGGGGGGGGGGGGGGGTTGGAGGGGGCAAAGGATTGATCTTTCTTGGGGGGGGGGTAGGGGCATATGATTGATTTGTGTCCACTGGGTTGGAGGATGCTGGGCAAGTCACAAACTTGTCCCGTGAGTTCGGGAAGAGACATGGTCCAAACGGGTAAAACATGCTTTCGGTCAAACCAACGAGCCGCCAAGCAGCCCCAAACGCTATTCAGTGGTTGAAGAATATGTTGGGTTCGTACCCTGGTTGGGGGGGTGTGCTTTTGTCACAATGTTTGGGGAACTACAACTGGGGAGGGGGGTGTTGCGTATTCAGGGCGTGTCTGTTCATCAAATAAGTCTATTACAAGGTGAGGTCTCAAATTTAGCACGGTTGACGTGTGGTGTCCTGAAATTGGGGGACGCCCTTTTCAATGCCGTGTAAAGGGAGACCAGAAGATCAACCACGATTGAGGAATCCGCGACGTTGCGGAAATACCAGCATCAACTTGAACATAAGATGTGAGAGACACCTAATTATGAACCAAAGACCGTCTTTGAAAGAAAAGCTCAATCTTCATGACTGGGTGGAACTCTTGCAACCAATATTCAAGCCTCAATACAGCACGATTGCCTGTTGGTCGAGCAACGACCAAAGGTGCGTGGCTTTTGGTTTCTTGATCTTCAGTGTCTGCATTCTTCGGAAGTCAATGAGTGACAGTTCGAAGCCAGCGTCACTGTCACCACAGTACCTTCACCAACATCAAAGTCATACCAAGTATTAGGTTTGAGGCAGGTTCTGATTGTGATAACCCCTAGAAACAAACAAAGTACCAGGCCTACAAAGCATAGGGTGTTGTGCACTTATGCTAGAAGGTCTCAATGATTGTTTCTGTAGAAGCTTGGCCTGTTGCAGGTCAGTCAGCGGTTGCCCGAGCCATAGTTCACTGATCTGTGCTGTTGAAAATAGACCCAAGAGCCCGCAGAGCCCCTTGACTCTCCCCATCCGCTCTCCGTTCCATCGAAACCTAAAAGGCTAAGGCCATTGTGCAGTTTCACTTTCTAAAATATACAATCAAGAAGGTGTAGTTTTCGCCTCCACTCTTCCCGAACACGCCCGTAGCCGCAACGCGATTTTGTTTGGAGTGGAAAAGGGGCATCGCAATTGCCAAATGCAGGGGCCAACGAGGCGGAATGTGGTGGACATTTGCTCTACGTAGCAAGCATGCAAGCCCCCCCCCCTTTATCCGACATGTCATGTATAGGGTGATACCTGCAGTCGGGATTGGGTGTAAATTTCGATTGGGGACGGTGTGGACATCCTTCACGGGGTGCTCCCCTTACACTCCGATCCATGGGTAACTAAACCGCCCGCCTTGAGCTCTAGAAACTCAAACTGCTGCAGCAGATCCCGGCCTTGGAATGCAAGCGCCTTGCAACTGCCGTTTTTGGCAACGAGTAGTGCGTGGTAGGTCAGTCAAAGGCCATTCGGCCAAAGTTCGACTCTCGACAACCGTAATCAGGGATTTGGCAAAAGTCGTGCTCCTGCGCAGCACTGTTCGTTTGGCCATGTGCTTGGGCGCCTGTTTGAAACTTGTAACTTTTCAGGCAAGCGTCGTACAGGAACTACTGGTTGGGCAACATCTTAGCGCCGAAACAAAGCTATCAAGTTGTGCGATTATCCGATTATTATTTGTTCAAGACAAACGCTGATTCCAACATATAGGGGTATTGTCCCTGGGGTATTGTCCCTGTGGGTATTCACCTACAACCCCATGCATGTCTTTCTCGTCATTGGGCGTACATGTGGGACCGCCAGAACCTTTGGTAGCGAAATGTTGCAAACTCACGATTGCCTTGCGTTCTACCTTCTAGATTCAGGCAAAGAAGCGTACAAGCGTCTACACCGAAAGGCTGGCAACCCTACCCAGGCCATATATATAAATTGGTCTGTCAGTCGAGGCAGGCCCGTCGTGTGGAGTCGGTTGGTCAAACAAACACAAGGGGCTGATTCTGTTTGGTACAGTTCAAACCAATGATCACGCTTCTGGAGACGGTTGCATGGGTCATTGGTCCGACCCGCAACTCCTCCGGTTACCCTTTACATATTGAATTTATGGTCGGTGTGCGGTGCAAACACCGCCGTGCTACGATGTACCTGTCGTACACGCTTCATGCTGTGCGCCTATGCATACACGTGCGTGTGTGTGTGTGTGTAAATAAATCAACATATATATATATATTATAGTCATGCATGTATGTTGACACAAAGCTACGTATGTCCAAAACCTGGCAAGCTAGCGGATGGTCCAAGCAAGCCATGGGGTGTGCAGGGCAACCTCTTTTTCCGCCTGTCGCCCTGCAGCTCACAGGACCTGGTGAGGCTCCAGACAGGTCCCCCCCCCCATTTTCCCCCACCCCGCACCCCGGAATGTCGTGCGCATGGTGGACACCTATGGTTCATACCGCAACCTTCGTTGTTCTGTGTTTAGGGTCCTTCGTGATATTGATAGTTTAAGGTGCTGGGTTTCAGAATTGTCTCATCATGGCAAGCTCCCCCCTCTCCCTTTGAGCCTAGGAATACCTTTCCGCTTTTGGGTTGGTGGCTTGGGGGATTCCTTTCGAAGCCAAATGGAGAAGGTTTATGAAGGCTGCTACATGCCTGGTAGCCTCACTTGATTGTATGCTTACATATGCCAGTTTTGTTTTTATTATTATTCTATTTTGGGTACCCATTCTTGACCCACAGCCATATTTCCCTTGGAACGATGAAGGAAGTGTCATGGGCAGTTGGAGGCTTTCCCTTGAGTGGTGGGGTGTGTGGGTGGGAAGTTCAATGAGGCCCCTGATTTGTCCTATTCACGGACAGGATCACTGAGTGGCAATTTGCAGTGCTTTTTTGATTTTGCTACCATGTGTGGTGAAGCAGTGATGTATGAAATGATGTAATCTTCAAGTCCAACTGGAGCATTTTGTCCATTAATCATAAACATGTGTTTGGGCTGCTCGAAGTCCTTAACGCTTATGCCCTCCATTCTTGCATTTGTGCCCCACTATGGAGGACGGATTAGGATTATGGCTCCTCCCATTCTGAGCCAGTTCACTGCCAGCTAGGACTAGGAACAACCTTAGAACCTCTCAAGCAGAGGAGGTTGCAGCTTGGGAGTCTAGCTCAAGCCTTAGAACTGCGCTCCTTGCTTTCGTCATTTCTGTGGCGTCTTGGACTGGACCGGTTTCGACGGATGTGGCTTCGACCCATGAAGAATGGTTCCTTTCCTGACGTGTTCGGCTTGCTTTGGCACCGTATCGCAGAAAAGGGGCAGCCATTTTCCACAAACATGGAGAGACATGACCTTCTCTGTATGTTGTTGGAGAACCAACCATTGGAACTGGGGAACTAGTTGAACCCCTTGTTTTGCTCTAGGTTTCCAGGCTTTTGTGGCTGGATGTGGTCTGTTCACTTTATGTTTACGGGAATCGCCGCCATGAACACGTTTCACAGATACAGGTATGTGGCTTTTGTGAGCGTCAGCATGTGGCATGACGCCCTGGGTAAAGCAACTGCTAAGTATGCCTTCACCACTAAATGTAGCTCAACTCTGAGAAGGAGTCAAAATGCATTCCCATGGGTCATATACTATAAACTCCGGGATCCAACCATCCCTCCCCTTTGTCCCCCCAAAATGATATGGTTAGGTCAGGCTCTGGCCTATATTTCATGAACCCTAAGTATCAAACACTACTAAGTTTTGAGGGTCTGGCAAAATCAAACAACTGACCATTCCCGGCTGGTGTCTCTTTAGAATATATTCAGTTATACGTTGGCGTCATGTTGGTTTGATCTTGATTGAAATCCCCAAAAGCTCCCTAGTTTTGACATACATGATCCCCAAATGGGTGTTTCGCAAAATACGCAACCTTTTTCTGGTGGTGGACTGGGCCAAGGCCCCGATCGAAATCCGCTTGAATTGCAATCCAGAAAGACACGCTCAGGGGTCTTTATATAGTTGTGTGTCAATTTTCATACACTTGTGTGGATGTAGTTATCTACTTACCTACAAAAACTCATCTACATAGGCCATAATGTTCAAAAAGAATCCCAGTCAACCCACCCCACTCCACCCTTGGAACGCCTGAAGCTCCGGTCCGCTCGCGGCTTCGCCCGCGGCGAAGAAGCGGAGGTACCCGTCGTCGCTACAGCTGCAGAGCAGCCCATCCGCACCTTGGCATCGGAGAATCAATCCATGAGCCGAGCGTTTTGGCTTGGAAGAACAAAGTCTTTTCTTGGCGGGTTGGGGGAACAGTAGCCATTTTTGATACCCACTTTTGAAACAGCCATGTTTGATATGTTTTTTAGGTATGGCTTGTTGGTGTGGCTTCCAAGGGGAAAGTCATTGCGATATTTGGTTTTTGGTGTTGGTTTTTAAAACGCCAATCTTTGATGCAGATATTGGAACCCATGGAGCGCTTTTTTATTGAGGTCAGATGGGCAGCAGGGAAGCCGACATTTTCCACAAAATAGTCGGAATTAAACATGGCCAATCATTTTGAACAAGCTCCGCAAGGACCAATGAAGGGTGAGCTTTCCGTTGGAAACGCCCGACACCTGCAAGCTCGCACTGAGCTATCGATTTCTGTCTCGTTACAAATCACTAGACGAAACACTCGGCCCCGTTTTGGGTAGTTTGAGGGCTACTCTGAACAGCGAACTTGGAGTTTTCTGAGAGGTCCCAGGGCCTCCCTCCAATTCACCCGACCAGCTGTCTCAGGACTCAGAAACAGCTGCTGGAGAACATTGAATTTGGCATGGCTTGAACCTCGTCGCATGGCAGAGTTTGGCATGGCATTGAATTTGGCATGGCAGAAAAAAAAAAAGGAGAAAAAAAAAGAAGAAGAAAAAAACGCCGCTTTACGCCCAAGGTGCGCATGGAGGCGTAGTTCACATTCGGGTGCGGGAAAGATTGCAGCAATTTCGCCGTACTCACCTGCGTGCCAAAGGAATGCCAATGCGGAAAAAGTGGCCCGGAAACTGGGAGGGGAAGCGGAAAGAAACCCAGCCCCAGCGAGGGGTTCTTGGGGATCGTCTCAGCGCAGACCCAGAGCCTCGTAAATCCGCACGCCGGTCCGGGACACGGTGTAGATCTGCTCCTTACAAGCCAACTTCCGTCCATCTTCGCAGTTGGAACTCAATTGCTTTGGGGGATTCCTCAGATAATGGCGCCGAAAAATCCAACGTTTACATTAGGAACCGAATGGCTTCCACTGATGGTGTGGATGCTGAATCGAGTTGTGGATCCACCCTAAGTGCCAGAGGTGAAATCCATATATTTGGAGAACCCCAAATGTTGCGGATCCACCCTCTCAAAAAGGAATTGAACAGGGAGTAAGCGGGAGGGCAGCAGTTTTAAACTCTAGTTGAAAACGTTAGTTTAACCGAGCAAACAAAGGTTCCTGACTGCCCTGGCCGGGCCTCGGGCCCCCCCCCCCAGGAAACAAACTAACTCTGCCAGAAAATGTTAGTTTCCAAGGAAAAAAACAAACCTTTCCTCGGCCCCCGAAAACCTTTTTTTCCCAAGGAGAAACTAACCTTTTGAAGGGGTCGGCCAATAGTTTACTTCCCAAGAAACAAACCTTTACAGAAAACGTTTGTTTCTAGGCAGGAAACAACCCCTGGAGACATGGCGCCGGCCAATTAGTTTGTTTCGCGGCGTGTGGGGGGGGGGGACAAGGTTGAAACCTGCTGTTTAGAATGTGTGCAGAAATTAGGGCACCCCGTCGCTGCATCATGACTGCCTCGAACATCATGGGGGGGGGCTGCCGCCCCCCCCCCCGACCCCCCCGCCGGTTTTTAGAATGTTTGCAGAAATTAAGGCACCCCGTCGCTGCATCATGACTGCCTCGAACATCATGGAAAAGGTGCCGCCCCCCCCAACCCCCCCGCTGGTTTTTAGATTTTTTGCAGAAATTAAGGCACCCCGTCGCTGCATCATGACTGCCTCGAACATCATGGGGGGGGGGCTGCCGCCCCCCCCAACCCCCCCGCTGGTTTTTAGAATGTTTGCAGAAATTAAGGCACCCCATCGCTGCATCATGACTGCCTCGAAAATCATCGGGGGGGCTGCCGCCCCCAACCCCCCCGCTGGTTTTTAGAATGTGTGCAGAGATTAGGGCACCGCGTTGTTAAAACATGAGTGCTTGGAACATCATGGGGGGGAGGCTGCCGCCCCCCCCAACCCCCCCGCTGGTTTTTAGAATGTTTGCAGAAATTAAGGCACCCCGTCGCTGCGTCGTGACTGCCTCGAACATCATGGGGGGGGCTGCCGCCCCCCAACCCCCGCTGGTTTTTAGAATGTTTGCAGAAATTACGGCACCCCGTCGCTGCATCATGACTGCCTCGAAAAAATCATCGGGGGGGC